TGGTGGTTCTAGTGAGCATACGTCGTCGTTTTGCTCTTCTCCTACTTGTATTCTTCTCACCGAGACTCTGTTTCGGCGAAGACAGAATCACGTTCTCAACTCCGATCAAAGACTCAGAGACCCTTCTCTGCAAAAGTGGAGTTTTCAGGTTTGGTTTCTTCACTCCTGTAAATTCCACTACTCGGTTACGTTATGTTGGGATTTGGTACGAAAAGATTCCAATTCAAACTGTGATTTGGGTTGCTAACAAAGACACTCCGGTTAACGACACTTCCGGTGTTATCTCCATCTCTGACGACGGTAACCTCGTGGTTAAAGATGGTCGAAACCGACTTCTTTGGTCGACGAATGTCACTGTACCAGTGGCTCCAAATGCTACTTGGGTTCAGCTATTGGATAGTGGGAATCTTATGTTACAAGATAACAGAAACAACGGTGAGATTCTATGGGAGAGTTTCAAGCATCCTTATAATTCTTTCATGCCAAGAATGAATCTTGGAACCAACGGTAGAACCGGAGAGAATCTCAAGCTTACTTCTTGGAGAAGCAATCAAGATCCTTCAACAGGGAACTACACAGCTGGTTTAGCTCCTTTCACTTTCCCTGAGCTTCTAATATGGAAGAACAATGTCCCAGTGTGGCGTAGCGGTCCGTGGAACGGTCAGGTTTTTGTCGGTTTACCGGATATGGATTCGCTTTTGTTTCTTGATGGGTTTAACCTTAACAGTGATAATCAAGGAACAACTTCAATGTCTTATGCCAATGATTCTTTCAAGTATCACTTTAACTTGGATCCTGATGGAGCTATATATCAAAGAGATTGGAGTACTTCTATGAGAAGTTGGAGAATCGGCGTAAGGTTTCCATCGACTGCGTGTGATGCATACGGTAGATGTGGTCCATACGGTAGCTGCCATCCCCGGGAGAGTCCGCCTTGTAAATGCGTAAAAGGGTTTGTGCCGAGGAATGACACAGAGTGGAATGGAGGGAACTGGAGTAATGGATGCGTTAGAAGAACTCCATTGCGGTGCGAAAGACTTAGAAATGGAAGTAGTAATGGTGGTGGTGGAGGAAAAGGAGATGTATTTTTGAAACTTCAGAAGATGAAAGTACCAATCTCTTCGGAACGGTCTCTAGCTAATGAGCAAGCTTGTCCTAATGTTTGTTTGGATAACTGTTCTTGCACGGCTTATGCTTATGATCGAGGAATCGGATGCATGCTTTGGAGTGGTGACTTAGTTGATATGCAATCATTTTTGGGAAGTGGCATTGATCTTAATATTCGACTTGCGAACTCTGAACTCAGTGAGTAAAAATCTCTGTAGCCTCACTTGTTTTCTTCTCCATTCAATTTGACTTATGTTTTCTCACTAAATCTTATAGAAACACATAGCAAGCGAGAAATTATGATCACAGCACCCGTGCTAGGCGTCGCGTTGGTTGCTGCGGTCTGCGTTCTTTTAGCATGCCGGAAATTCAAAAAGCGTCCAGGTTACAATTTTATTTTTTACTCATTGATGATATTGATAGCTTCAGATTGTTCCTTTATCATAATTTGTTTGCTTTATTGATCATTGCTTTAGAAGAACCAGTGAAAGATAGAAGTGCAGAGATATTGTTTGAAAGAATGGAAGCACTTACAAGTGGTAATGAGGCTGCTTCTAACCAAGTCAAGCTCAAGGAGCTTCCACTATTTGAGTTTCAAGTGTTAGCTACATCAACCGATAACTTCTCTCTCAGAAACAAGCTCGGACAAGGCGGATTTGGTCCTGTTTACAAGGTAGAGCATTAAACAAGAATCCGTGTTCTGGCAATAAGAGAATCTCAGAGTTAGTGATTGGTAATCTTTTGTTTTCTACAGGGAAAACTGCCAGAAGGGCAAGAAATTGCAGTGAAGAGGCTCTCACGGGCATCGGGCCAAGGACTCGAGGAACTAATGAACGAAGTGGTTGTAATTTCGAAGTTGCAACATAGGAATCTGGTGAAATTACTTGGCTGTTGCATTGAAGGTGAAGAAAGGTTGTTAGTCTATGAATATATGCCAAAGAAAAGCTTGGATGCATATCTATTTGGTAAACTTATCACCTCTGTTTTTAACTCTGTTTCTTACCGGGATGATCGAAGAGAAAGCTAATGATTTTGTTATCTTTTCTAAGACCCATTGAAGCAAAGTATTCTTGATTGGAAGACTCGGTTCAACATTATGGAAGGAATTTGCAGAGGTCTTTTGTACCTTCACAGAGATTCAAGACTAAAGATCATACACAGAGATCTAAAAGCCAGCAACATTTTGTTAGATGAGAATCTAAACCCGAAGATAGCTGATTTCGGGCTTGCACGAGTTTTCCTAGCGAATGAAGATGAAGCTAACACAAGAAGAGTTGTTGGAACATAGTAAGTATCCTTTCCCAAAAAATACACAACAAAAACATTTTGAAAGTCGGTTTTATCATAAACCAATGTGAATGATTTTTTTTTTTTTTTTGCAGCGGCTATATGTCACCGGAATATGCAATGGAAGGTTTCTTTTCGGAAAAATCAGACGTTTTCAGCTTAGGGGTTATATTTCTAGAGATCATAAGTGGGAGAAAAAACTCTCACAAGGAAGAAAATAATCTAAACCTTTTAGCTTATGTAAGTGTGTATACTAATCAGTGTTTAATTAGTAACTTACTAGCTTTGAAACTTACCGTAAATTTGGTTTTCAACAGGCGTGGAAACTGTGGAATGACGGTGAGGCTGCTTCTCTAGCAGCTCCAACAGTCTTTGACGAGTGTTTTGAGAAAGAGATACAGAAATGTGTGCAGATTGGACTGTTATGTGTGCAAGAAGTTGCAAACGATAGACCGAATGTTTCTACCGTGATTTGGATGCTAAGTACCGAGAACGCAAACCTCCCCGAGCCGAAGCAGCCTGCGTTTATAGCAAGAAGAGGAGCTTCTGATGCTGAATCTTCTGACCAGAGTAGTCAAAAGGCATCTGTTAATGATGTGAGCCTCACAGCTGTCACAGGACGTTAAGCTCACATAGCTAAATCTCATTCTGTTTATATACATATGTTTTGTGAAACTCCTATGGTTACAAATTTTGTATCAATTTGCTTATGTTCAAAATAAGAGATGTATTTCAAAGAAATTATGTTCAGATTTGCTATTATTTCAAAACACCTGATGGAAAAAAACCAGATTGTGTAATTAACTAACCTGGAGGAAGAATCTGAAACCTGAAGGAGAAATTGAAGAACAAAAACTAACCATGTACTTGGGAAGTCACAATAGCTTCTATCCAAGAGAAATAACTAAAAAATATATACATGATTTTTGTGTTTTGGTATGCTATATATTGAAGCAGGCAGACCTGGATAAGATCAACTTTGATTTCTTGTTGGATTCATTAAATGTTTATACCAACTTTGACCTTTTCATCAGAAAATTATTCTAGTGAAGCCAAGAATTTTCTCTCATTTTATTTCTTAGCCAAACAAAACAACAAATAGAAACCAAAACTTAATTATGTTTTCAAAATTTTCTTCAGTTCTATTTTTATAGTCTTCTCTTCTTATTCAAAATGAAGAAAAACATTTGGAGTTTTACTTTAACGACCCTGAAGGCCGGTTAGGGTAACGTCATTAACAGAATTACCGGTTTCTCCCATGAGCCAAGCACCATTTTCGCTTCCTCTGTTCCTTCCCGCCGTAAACACAGGATGCTTGGGAGATGGAAGATCAATGGCGTTATGACCTAACATGAACACAACAGAGGACATGTCTGGTCTATCCGAAGCGTTTTCTTGCACGCAAAGCAACCCAATATGTACGCACTTCAACACTTCGCTCTTTTCATAAGTATCTTCGTCCATTGATGTGTCTATGATCTTTGTTGCTTCACCTTTGTTCCATAGGTCCCAAATCTACAAGATGAAGAACAACATTATGTTCTGTTTTTTTTGTTCCTTTGTTTATGTTTTAAAAAATGGAGTTTTAGGTTACATGTCCGATTAGTGTCGAAGATTCTTCGTGGAAAGCATTGTTTTTCATTCCGGTTATGATCTCTAAGATCAATACTCCGAAGCTATAGACATCGGATTTAACTGAGAACTGTCCCTCCATTGCATACTCAGGTGACATATATCCGCTGCGCAGTGAGATTGAAACGACCTTTAAGTTTGAATGGTTTTAGACAGTTTTATGGGAATTGAGAAAGACTTAACTCACTATGTTCCAACGACGCGATTTGTGTTTCCTTCCATTTGGTTGCCTCCGAAGATTCTTGCCATGCCGAAATCCGCAATCTTGGGGATCATTTCGTTGTCAAGAAGCACATTGCTGGCCTTAAGGTCTCTGTGGATGATCCTCAGTCTTGAATCTTGATGAAGATACAAGATTCCTCGAGCAATCCCGCAGATTATCTTCATCCGTTTTTGCCAATCCAACTCCGCTCTCTGCTCTTCGTCTACGACAAATGGCGAGAAAGAAAATCGGAATGAATTGAAGTCATTAATCTTTCTGAATGGGAGAAATGGGAAGATGTAAAGACTAAATGTATTAGAAATGCTGAACTTACGGAATATGAAATAGTCTAGGCTCTTGTTTGGTAAGTACTCGTATATCAACATCTTCTCTTCTAGTTCAACGCAACAACCTAAGATCCTCACGAGATTTCGATGTTGCAATTTCGATATCAACTTGACCTCGTTCTTGAACTCTTCCATTCCTTGGCCCGAGTTTTTCGACAACCTCTTCACCGCTATCTCCATACCGTTTGGTAGCACTCCCTGAAATAGAAACGAAGGAAACATTTCTTAAAGATTGCTCTTTTGGAGAAGTATTAATGAAGATGGATTTTGCCTCTTCCTTACCTTATAAACGGGTCCAAAACCACCTGCTCCAAGCTTGTTATGGGAAGAGAAGTTACTCGTCGCTGCAGCGATTGTGTTAAGCTCAAACAGAGGTAACTCCCTGTTAATCGCCTTGTCCTTTTCAAATTTGAATGATTCTTCAAAATCAAAAGAAACTGGGACTGGGGCGAAGGTCGTTGAAGATCTTCTATGCCTCTTCGACTCTGTAGGTAAGAATGTATCAAATAGTTAGTTGTGAAGTAAACAAACAACAAATGAGCTTGAAAAGATGCATCATCAGACATTTACTTACTTACGAAACAGAACAAAAGGACCATTAGTAACATTACGGCTGCAATCAAACTGATAAGAATCAAAACGACTCTCCTCTTCCCTGATGAGCCATTTCTATTCCACCTCTCTGAAACAAGCAAGCAAATCAAAATATCAAGTACTTAAAAAATTTCTACATTGACATTTTTTTTTCTCTTCGTTGCAACGAAACAGAACAGTTGTTGTTGAAGAAGTTGGAGGGTAGGTATCCGAGTCATGTTCTTGGAACAAACAAGAACATGAAGAGTAGATTCATATATATGTACCTAACTCTTCCGCATCTACACGTATGTAGAAATCTTGTCCAGAATTCAAGTATGTCCTCGTATCCAACATATCGCCGTGCCATGTCAAGCACCCTGTTGGTCCTCCTTTACTCTCGTGGTAAGCGCTTGCGTAAGCGACACAAGAGCAGTTCCTCAAGCAACTCTGTTTGCACTCCTTCAACGTTATATTCATATCCACACTTGTGCCTGAGGTGTCAGGAATCTTCGCGCGTTTTAACTTCACAAACCCGTCGTTTTGCTGGCATATCGAAGCTCTGTTTTTCTTTCTACACCCGCCCGAATAGTCCCTCAAGAACCAATGCCGAGGAATCTTGGGCTCAAAACCAGGTAGGCATGTGCACTCAAACGTTTCTGAACTAGTGGGATCGCAGTGACCGTTAACGCCACAGTGTGTGTAGTAGTCACATTCCTCTTTAGGAACTGACCAGAATTCGTTCCATCTCTTATCCCTCGCAATCCATGTGAACCGTTGTATGTGTCCTCTCTCATTCACCATCAATCTTGTTAAGACTGAAGCATCCGTCACACCGTAAGTGAATGATACTTCGTCCTGATTACTCACAAATGAGTTATTGAAGATATACCCTCTTGTCATTTCAGGCACACCGCTCCACCTCTGCCCGGTCCACGACCCCGTGCGCCACCACGGGGTCAGACCTTTGTACAGAATCAGCTGCGGAGACCCTCTACGGTCTATCCGGTATGTACGGTTTCCAGAGCCAGGATCACCAGGAGATTTCCATGATGTCAGAAAGCGATCCAAACCGTCTTTTCGTGTGAAACCCAATTTCATAAACGGAAGAAAAGTGTCTGTAGGATGATCAAAGCTCTCCCAGAAACCTCTCCCTGTGACTGAATCAAGCAGAACAAGGTTCCCTAAATCAGAGAGTCTTGCAACTAAAGTTGGTTCCGAGATTCTATCCGAAACATTAGTCGACCAGAGAGACTCTGTTCCATTCACTGATGCATAGACACAGAGATTTCCTCTGCTACTGAAATTTATCAGACCAGATGTGTCATTAACAGGACGGTCTCTGTTTGCAACCCATACAACAGTCTGCTCAGGGATTTGAGCATACCAAATACCGACATACCGGAGCTTAGAAACCCCAAGGCTGAAGAATCCAAATGCAAATCTTTTCCCTTCAGAGAATATGACATCACCATCTCTCAAGGACTGTCTTCTCGTGATCGTATCGACGGATATACAAGAAGATTGGAGGAGGGAGAAAAGAATGATGAGGAAGACGATCTTCATTTCTGTGTGCTGTTTCTGAACAAGGGGGTTGATGCAATGAAACGTATAAATGCTGTGTAGTATTAAAAGCCAAGTGGATCACTCATCAACTAACAACATTAACTGTAAAGTTCTTCTCTGTCTTTTGGCGCCCAGTTCCGGATATCTCTCAAAGGAAGCAAGAACTGATTCATGTGACTTTGAACATGACATAGAACTAAAAGTACACTAACAATAATCATTACTACGAACTTTAATAGATACAGTATAAATAACATCAACAAGCATATTGTGTTGTGATATTTGAAACCACCCAATATTACCATGCACAGTTTAATCACCTCT